ACAGCTGAAATGTAATTGCTGTGAACTCAGGACAGATGTACTAGCAGAAGACAAAACTGAGCACAGTTATACAGAGATAACCAAGAGAAAAACCCAGTCACACTGCATGCCAGCTTACTGACTCAATTGTTTAGTGAGTGGATCTAAAGATTAGGGATTTATTACTCACACACCGTTGAAAACTTCAATCAGAAAATTGCAGAGAATATTAAAGCAAGAAATATCACATTATTTTCTAAGATTGCCGTATAAACAAAACTAAATCCTTTTTTTTTTTAATCTCATGCTATGCTGTCTTCATTTCACAAGGTGAAAGAACCCACAGAGAACAGAAAAAAAGGAGAAATACCTCACTTAATGTTGCAGTGCTTGAAAGACACATCCTTGGTTCATACAGGTAAATGTGCTGTGGACAGCAATGAAGTTAAAACATTTACCATCACCTCAGTTTTGATTACCAAAAAAGTAAAGGTTTAATATATCAACTAATCAAAGAGGAGCATTAAGTGGAGGCTATATTCATTAAGTATTCCATAGACAAAAATACCCACAAACAAAAACCCCAAACACTCCCCAAACCCGTGGATATAAAAATAAAATGTATTCTATATTTTTAGAGATATTATCTTACTGTTTTTGCAATGTCATATGCCATCAATATTTGAAAAAGGCAGTATTCTTATTTAAGTTGCAGTCTACATAGAAGATGCTGTATCATTAGCATATTTTAAAAGTCCAAGTGCAATATTATAAACCACATAGCACACACACACACACACACAGAGAGAGAATAATTCAGTATGTATCATAAGAAAGTATCTTATGTATCATAAGAAAGTATCTAATCCCTTTGCCTTTATTTCTCTGAGCTTTTCTTCTAAAAATGTCAGTGGATCTTCTGGATGAACAATAAATACACCACAGAGCAGCACCTGCAAAAAGAAACTGCAAATTAATTCCTTGTATTTACAGCAAAGTACCATCTAGTTATGAAGCTGTTAAAATAAACAACAGTTTACCAGAATCTTTTAAAGCAATGCAAAATAGAGGCATGTCTTTTTATCAGTTCCCTTTCATTCAATTTTTAAAGGTAATATTGCATGTACCAGCATAATTCCATTGGTAGACTTCTAAGAACTTAGTTTAGGATAGTAAAATAAGTGGCATTTCTTTAGCCATTCCTACAAAGAATTTAATTGTTTTTAATGTGCATTTTAAAGAATGTATATAAGATTGGATAATTTTATTTACTTAATAAGAAATGCAATCTAAAGCAAATTTAATACTATGAGGTAAAGAATATGTTGAATGGGCAAAAATTGATCTTGTAACTAACACTGAAAACAAAATGCAGCTAAAAATATTTGCTTTTCAGGATTGTTTTCTTATACAATTTTACATTATCTTTTAGTAACAATGCACAATAACCAATGAACCATTTTTTCTCATTTGTCCTTCAGCTATCTTTAGCAATCAGCTAAAGGACATGGATCATTTACTTTTGGACTTTCAGCTCACATACAGCAACAACATTCAAAGTATATTAACGTATATGGGCAAATTGCAGTTATTTAAGTGAATATTTATTGGAAATGATAAACAAAAAGTTCTTGTGCCTGGTAAAAGTGTCAAAACATGGCATGCAATATTACTTTCAAGATATGGCCTCTTGCTGTTGTTAAATTAATGGAGAGTTTGTGCTTGAATTCTTTTCAGGAAGCATGGTGAGAGGACAAAGAAAAAGAGGAAGGCTCTAAATCAAAGCCATGCTGTGGACAGAGAGGAAAAGCCACGGATGGCACAGAGGCAAAAAAGGCAAGTTGCTGTCAAGCTGCCCCTTGCCCTGCAGGGGCAGAGAGCAGGGCAGGCAGGTAGAGGGAACAGCCCAACAGGCCATCCATGCTCTAATCAGTCCATGTGAAGGGACAGAGCAGACAATAATGTAAATTGGAAGGGGCCTCTGAAGGCAGTTGAACAGAAGCTGTTGGGATGCCCCATTATTGGAAGTGTTCAGAGCCAGGCAGTATTTTGAGCAAGCTGATCAAGGGTAAGAAAGGTGTCCCTGCTCATGGCAGGGTGGTTGCATTAAATGTTCTTTGAAGGTTCCTTCCAACCCAAACTCTTCTGTGTTTCCATGAATCTAAGTCAAGACCAAAATGAAAAGGTGAAGACAAAATTAAAGGCCACTGTCTTCAGTTTAGACACCTGAAAATTTACTAACTAGCCAACATACCAATTCCAACCTTAGCATCTTTTCAATCCTTTTAACAGAAATGTAATTGGCAAGGTGTGGCTGACCATTGACAATCTTAAAAAAATAGAAATGTATCACTTATCATTGTAACTCACAGCATGCAATATTTTAAATAATAAACACCTAAATGGTTTTTTTATCACAAATTTTCCTATGGGCAGATTCCCAAAGCCATTCCCAACATTGGTAAACTACTCCCTCTGCTGGATAAACCAGTATGTGACTGCCATATTTTATTTCGAGTATTGTTTGCCTTTCCCCCCATCCCTTTTTCAAAGAATCAGACACCTACTTCTCCTTTAGGTGTTCTGAAAGTTCTACAAAACAAGAAATCAAGTCTATCCAGAGATACACTGGAATGCAATGCCTCTGTTTAACATTTGAAAATATTAATTAAATAAGAAAGGAATTGTAACACCTTGTCTTGCAATCCTCATTCAAATACTCTTCAATAATGCTTGGACCAGGTGTAAAACAGGAAACAGTTATATCAATCATGCCAAGCAATTAGGTTTGTGCAAGTCTGGCTGTTTCTATTCGACTTCTGCAAGTCTCTCAGCAATCTGGAACATCACCAATGTTTTCACCCTTTCTTCTTAACAACTCTTTAGCCATTTACCCTTCATGGCAAAATTAATTTGGGTCCCAGAGCAGAAAAATCTTAGGCCAGATCTTCATCTATATTTACTTCTAACATTGCAAGACTACAGCTACCAACTACAGTGAAGTTGTCATACACAAGAGTGTTTGCAGGATTACTGTCTTTGCCTGACTTTTAATGAATACTGTTTAAAAGTAAATCTGGATGAGAACAGACAAATCAGACAGGAAGGAAATTCTCAGATCCAGCAGGGAATCCTAAATTATCTGGACAAGATTACTTGGACTTCAGCTTGTTTGGATCATGTCCAAACCACAACCTCATCACAAAAAGACTTAAGTAAATGTCCATTTTAGAACTCTATATCCTTAACTTTGAGACTATGTGTATAAATGTTAATAGGTCTCAGCTTTGATGTTCCTTAATAAAAGGACCAGTATCATCTCATTTATCTTCACACCAAGCATCCTGTAACTCCATAAAGAAATTAAAATATAAGAAAATTAAATAAGAAATATGGCTAGATATCAACAAGCAACATCTAAGAAACAAGAAAAACAAGGATAAAAATATCTCACACAGGGTAATTTTTAACTGGTTCTTTTAAAAAGAGTCCTCCTTTAATCTTATCCTTAATTCTTTCATTTTTAGTCCATTAACTTAATTTCACTGCTGCTATAATGCTATAACTTTTGCTTGGAAAAATATGAGCCAATTTTTAAAGTGCTGAATCAAGAAAGACACCTCATGGTGATACATCTTATATTTTGGGGTTTTGTGCTTAGAAAGCAAAAATGACCTAGAGACAGACTCCCAGGATAAGTACTCAGTCTACATGGCAGCACTGCTCTGTAATTATTGTAATTGGCCCAAGATTTCTTTATTAGTGTTTCTATGGAAATCCTGCTGTAATAGCCGATTGCAAATGGGGTCTATTTTGGCAGCTTAAATATATCAGGCTATCTCTATCTCTTAAATTTGCATTTGTGCATTGGGCCTTTTTTTTTTTTTTGTTTGAAGGAAACGGAAAAACAGCTGCTGCCGATTTGGTAACAAGCAGAGGTGAACACGACAAACAGGGAGGAAAATATAGAAACGCAGAGAATCACAAAATTCTTGCAAATTCTAAGGGCAAACCTACCGACCCTGTTTCCCCCACAGTCCTTCATGCCAGTTTTACTCTCTGATATTTTATGAAGTCTATTTCTCCTATGCCAACAAGAATACCTAATCCACCAGCATATATGAAGCATCCAGTGTCATATTTGTGACTGACAGACCACTAGAAAACATGGATTGCAGCCACTGCACTCATGAGGAAGGAATTACCTGGCTGGAATCTAGAGGTTCTTCTGTAATTAACAGAGAAGAAGTTAAACGTAACAGGGAAAGTGCCAATGCAGTTCACCGGGTTCGTCTTCATTTATATCCCCGTTTTAACATAGTTTATAAAGCAGAATTGCTTTGTTCCATCTTGTTACTGCTCCAAAAGTTTTCATAAATCGTTTGAAGCATGCTAGTGACAAAACGAGCAGAATAAAACCATGCCCCAGGCAGCAGAGAGCAGCGGGAGGGATGCGAGATGGCCCGGCCAACGCTGAGGGGAGCAACGAGCCGGGCCCAGGGCTCTGCTGAGGGCCGGGGGGGACCCTTGGTGAGGGAGGGTGGCGGTGGCTCCCTGCCATAGATGTTACCAGGGGAGTTTGTGGTCCCACCGGCTCCAGTGGGACCCGGCTGCCGATCGCCTGGACACCCAGGTGGTGGCGGAGGGCCAGGGGCGGCGGAGACGGGGGTCCCGAACTTTGGGGATGATGTGCCTGCCCCCGCCAGGGCTGCCATGGCGCAGGAGCGCCTTCCCTCCGGCTGGCGGCCTCCCGAGAGGCAGCGTGTTTGGGAAGGCGCTGCGGGACCAGGCCGGTCCGGAGCGCGGGTGATCCCTTCCTGTAGAACAGAAACCGCAGCGCGTCGCTGTCACGCAGCGGCGGAGCCTCTCCCGCGCCTGCACACGGAGCTGTGGGCTCGGCATCCCTGGGGCACCTCGGGCGCAGCCCCTGCACCCGAGCCCCGAAGGAAGGGCAGAGCCGCGGCCGAGCCGCACCGGATGGGGCGGTGGCTTCCGCGGGCCACGCAGCCGCGGCCGGGTCGATGTGGGAGCCGCGGGGCGCGGCGGTGAGGGCGGCGGCGGCGGCCCTGCTGCTCGGGGCCGGCGCCTGCTACTGCCTGTGGCGGCTGGCGGCGGGCGGGCGGCGGGGGCGGCGAGCAGCGGCCGAGCGGGGCCCGCCGGCAGGTGAGGGCCGGGGCAGGGCCGGGCAGGGCGGGCCTCGCCCCTCCGGTGTGCGGCGGGGCCGGGGGAGCCTCCCCGGGCCCGAGGGGTTCCCAGCCCGCGGCCCTGCAGCGCGGCTCGGGGCCCGGAGGTGGCTCCGCGCCCTGCCAGAGGCGGTGCCACAGCCCTGAGTCCCGGCCCTCCATAGCCATGTGGCAATCTGGGGCGCTGTGGAGTGTGGTTTATTTTTAGAAAAGCCTATTTATTTTTTTTATTAGTCCCCCAAAGCGTACGTCTGATCATTGTGTTTACTCTTGTTATTGCAGTTATTTGTGTTTCCCCTATAATTCAAAGCTAAGCGGAATGTGTTTAGACGAGGATGAAAAACGATTTTGTGTTTGAAGTGAGCTATTGAATCATCATAATTAACTTTGATCTCTATTTTTTTTAACCCTGAAAGAATACTATGGTGTTTGCCTGGCCAAATGCTGATGTAAAGCTGTGGAATTTAAAGCACTCTTAGCTTCTCAGAAGTCATCTCGAGTAAGCTATGAGCTATGACTAGTCCAGCAGTCAGAGATCAGGTTTCATGGCTCTTCGCCTGCCTAAATAGTTGTGCCTCCAACCTGGCTGAAATGGCCTCTGATAACATTTGTTGCCCTTTTATAAAGGTCAGGTACTCCATTACATCATCCTGACTCAGAAGCAGCCTTCCTCCTTGTTTTGAGCGGTGCCATGATCAGCAGAGTTCCTAACATCCTGGCTGTTACTTTGTCAAAGGATCTCAGCATACTACCAAAGTGTCATTGTAATTTCTGGAAGTAGTAGTCTGCAAACTGGAAGTTTTGTTTCCTACAGTGCCCAGCCAGATTTCCACATTTCATTTTGGGGAAACAAAAAAAAAACAAAAACAAAAACAAAACCAAAAAAAAAACCAAAAAAAAAAAAAAACCAAAACAAAACAAAAAAAAAAAAAAAAAAAAAACAAAAAAAACCAAGCCATGTTTGGTGAATATTCCTAATAATTTTGCAGGAGAGATTTAATATTGGTTAACCAGGAAGTAACTCACTGCAACCTCTAATTGTGTGTTCCTTTTATTCTCCCCCTTCAAAAAGGTAATTAGAGGACTCAGGAAAAGGATGGAAATCTTAGTGTCATAAAAATCTTTTTACCATGATATGATGATTGGGCACAACATTAGAACAATATGTCCTACAACTGAGAGCTAAATTTCAGCTTTGTAAAAATCATTAAGTAGCAACTAAGTGAAATGTCTCAAACTTAGTATCAAGTATTTCATTTCTAAATGTTGACAGACAGCAGTCCTCCAGTGTCAACCCATACCATGGATGTGGATGCTCTACAGAAACTTATTCATTTGCTCCAGGCCACAGATGATCCATTAATTCAAGAGCAAGCTTTAATCACTCTCAGCAACAGTGCTGCCTTCTCTGTAAATCAAGTGAGTATTGTTCTGTAGAAAACAACAGTGTCCAATGCCAGCCAGTCTGGCAGAGGAGAGCTGCTGTTTTGCTAAAGAGTGACACAGGACTGAAAGCTAGGACAGCTTGTGCTCTAAAATCTATTTAATGTCTTGCCTTAATTTCTGCTGGCTCAAATAATATAATTCACCAGCTTCACAGAATTTATTGAATTATAATGTTTGGACCACTTAAAGTCCTGAACTTCAAAAGTGCTGTAAATGTATCTTTTGTTGCTTACAATTATGTAATGTTAATGAAAGGGTTGAATACTAGGTTAAATACTTTCTGGTTCAGATCTAAACTTTAGTGAGATAAACTATACTTTTTGTCCCTCACGAAGTTGTGTGCTGTTTGCACATTAGCAATTTTACAGCTATCGAGGCATCTCCAAATCATTCTGACATAGAATGCAGAAAAACTTTGAGCTGGATGCCAATTTTCATACCTTTTTACCAGTTTAACCTTCAAGGTACCACCCTTTTTGCTACTTATGATTGCCATCTATTCTGGCTTCTCAAAATGCCTTTCTTAATATAAATCTCTTAGAATGCAACTGAAGCATAAAGCTCATTAGACCATTTAATTTTTTTAAGAGCAGGTTTTTTTAAAAAGACAGTTAAAGTCTAAGTGAGAAGGATTAAAAACAGTGATAAAAACAAGTGTAATGGAAAGTTTCAGAACCTCTAATAATATGAAGCTACATCTTGAAATTTTCTCCTGTTCAGGCAGGACTTTTAGGTACTGCAATCTGGCTCAGCTGTTCTCATTATCAAGTAATTTCCTTTTATTCTTTATAATGTAAAATGTTTTAAGCATGCTTTGCAGACCAGATTTTAAAAGCAAAGGTGATGTACTGTTGTCAAATAATAGCAATGAACACTTCTATTCCTAAGCAGAACCCTTCTTAGTTTCAGTAAAGCAATAAAGCAGTATCTGCTAACACTCTCTTTAAACAGAGCAGTCAGTTCTGAATTCTTCATTCACATACTTCATTTTTGTCAATATGGAGAATTGAGGGAATGCTTCAGCATTTAAATTGAATTTTAAAAAATCTTCTTAAATATCTTCTATATTTCAGGATATAATCCGAAATTTGGATGGTCTTTCTGTTATTGGAGGGATGCTCTCCAACTGCGTTCCCAAAGTTAAAGAAAAAGCACTGAATGCACTTAATAACTTGAGTATGAATATTAAAAATCAGGAAGAGATACAGGTAAGATTCTTTTCTAATGGGAAAAACCAAAGTAACCAAGGGAAAGGGATAGTATAGGTCCTTCAATATATTTGTTAAATACAAGCCAGGATGCCAAAATACTTTGATGATAGAGATATAAGTCAGCAGATCTGGATGACTGAAAAGATAACTTAGAAGTGCATTGCTTCACTGGCATTTACTTTTAAAATAAAAGACAGGAACCTATGCAGTTTGTGTCCAGCTTTCACAAAATACTATTAAAGAGAGATTGTTCTACCAAGATTACAGTAAAATTATGTGAGGTAAGATGATTTCCAAACATGCCTACAACATCAGCAGTGGCTGTTTAACAGAATGGATTGCAGGTTGAACTTGCTAGGACTCCTTAGGTGAGGGAGAAGAAAAGAGTAATTGAGCCCCTGGGTTTGTACAAGACCAATTTTTCAGGTGATACTTCCACTTAAAAGGAAAAGCATGTATAAATTATAATAAGTTCCACTGGTGAATACAGTACATGCTATGGATATGAAAGGACTAAACATCAAGAAAAAAGTAATCCATCTGATTAATCAATAGATCAAGAAGTGTCCAAGTGGTGAGTTGAGGCAGATTTGAAGACTTGTATTAGTTTGTTTCAGTAGCTTGATAAAAAGATAGTGTGACTGCATGTGGTAGTTTGCAGCACCTTTAGCAACAGGCAATTTTTATTAAGTAGTGCTTGTCCATATTTGTCTAGGTGTATAAGTAGGAAATAATTCCTTTGGTAAGGGTAAATTACTTTTTTCCCTCTGTTAGGACTCCAAGATTCATTGTATACTGTCATCCAGAAGAAAAATTGGTAAAAATAGTAGTTAATGTCAGTTGTTATTGCTGTTCCTGCAGTGTGCTCCAGTAAATGCACCACATGGCTGGGAGAAACTATTTCATTTCAGAGCTTGTCCTTAGCTTGTTTTCAATATTTAAGATGTTAGTTATTTATAAGTGATTTTTAAAACAACTCCCTAAGGCAGCTGTGTCACTTCTGAGATGGAGGCAAAGCAATTTAAGTTTTCAGGGCAAGTTATGTTTCAGGAAGATTAGTGAGCATAATGCTGAATGGTCTGCTTCTGTCATGCCACTAGAATGTTTGAAATATTCAAAACAAAAATGCACTTGTTTCCAAGATCCTTCACCATTCAGCCAGCAATGTTCAGGAGGTATTTATGTTACTGTAGCTAGGCCATTGATACTATTTGTGACAGAAGATATGCTTTTATTAAAGACTATTCTCTCTTTATTTCCTCCCCCCTTTCCCCAGGTATTTATTACACAAGTTTGTGGGACTGTTGAGTCAGCTCCCCTGAACTCTGATGTGCAGCTAGCTGGACTCAGGCTGTTGACAAATATGTCTGTTACCAATGACTACCACCAAAAGATGATAAACTCCATTCCATGCTTTCTTCATTTGCTTTCAGAAGGAACTGAAAGGACACAGGTACTGGGTAGTGTTATTTTTACAAGCTGTTTATGAAGCTGCTTTGCTTGCCTTGTTTCTTAACATTTTGGTAAAATGGTTTAAACTGTGCTAAGAAAACCCAAATATTCATTCATTATAACAGATTTTATGCCCTAAAATATGGATCTGTATTAGTTTCACAAAATAAATTCAAAAACAGGGGAGGGAAGGGAATCTTGGTAATGAAGCCATCAGGCTACAGCTCTACCAAAGCAGTGCAGGGTGCCTTTACCATTGCAACTGTACCTTTGCCATTGCAACTTCAGAATTCTCTTCTGCTCTAAACATTGCTACTGCATCCCAGAGCAAGGAGAACCTGCATGGGAAAGGCTTCATTGATGCATGAATCTCTGCAGGGAAACATGCCAAGCAGTGATACTAAGCTATGGACTTTAGTTCTGTTGTGCTTATGACACCTCTGGCAACCTTAGTGACTGCAAGTGGAAATCCTGCTTATTTGTTGTAATACTGAAATGAGCTTCAGTTAGGGACCAAAGTCAGCTTTATGCAAGATGTTGTAGTACCTTCAGTGTATGCAGTTGCTCTATCAGATCAAAACCAGTTTTCCAAAGAACTCATTTCCACTAAACACACCTATTGTACTTAAGTACAGAAGTAATATGGCCTTTTCCTAGTGTTTAAAGACTAGCTTCACAAGGTCCAAGAAAGCACAAAGGTGTATTTATATATACTTTGGATCATTTTAAATGCAGTACTTAAACATCTTTGTATTGTAAACATATTCTGCATTTGGCCTAGGATTCATTTATGGCTCTTGCCTTATTTTGATGTTTAAGTCAATCTGAATTTGCTTCTAACATGTCTATACCTTGGTTTTCCCTGTACCAAAATACTCAATATTGGTTAACCCATTTTGCCTTTTCCTCCCCAAGTCACCTTTGACATTATTGATACCCATTACAGCTTTACTTACTGTTTTGGAGCTTTTAATGAAACTGAACATTCCTCACTTCAGATTCAAGTTTTGAAAGTACTTGTGAACTTATCTGCAAACCCAGCCATGACAAGACATCTTCTCAGAGCTCAAGTAAGATTCTTGCTGCTTCATTTTAGTTTTGGCATATATACATGTGTATCAGTTAAAATATTGCATGCACTAGAAGAATTTTAAGGTATTAGAAATATATATGCAATTCCATAATCAATTCTAGACACTGCTTGGTTAAAATCAGTAGCTAAGTGCACATTCTTTCATGGGCAGGATTTATTGCAGAGGGCAGTGTAATACAGATGCTGTACAAAGAGAGGGAGAGGCACAGGGCCTGTGCCCTTGGAGACACTGTGTGGTTGTATTCCTGTGTAACATTCAAAATAATCAATAACTTGCAGAAGCCTGATCTAACCTTCCCTTTCCACCAAAGGGGTAAGACCATGAACTTCAGTTTGTATTTTGTAAAAGGAACCCAAAACTTTATTTTCAGACACACAGTCAGTATATAAATTGAAAACTATCAAATAGTACTAGTTCTGTAAGTTCTCAACTGCTGTTTCCATAGCCAATGTACTGAGCCAAACCCAACAAATTCCACTGGAATCCACATCCCTTTATTCAAATGCAGCCATAAAAACTGTTGCCTCTAAGTGAATTTCCCTGTGCATTTACTTATTTCTTCATGGAGAAATTTGTGTGACAGTGCTGTGTTCGCCTTGGCACACAGGTTTCTTTTGAACTGACACCAAATTCTTCACACCAAAACATAGTCAGGGGCAGCATCCTCATCCCCCTCCCCAAAGTAACTTTCATAAAATGTGCAATGGCATTTATTTGTGAGCTATCTGCCATGAGCAGATAGTCTCGATAATGCTGTCTTTTCATTATTCAAACAAAGTTAGAGTAGCTAACTATTCAATTCTCTGTTAAGTGTATCACTTTTCATTCATCAGATATGCTAACAAAAACATTCAGGGCAAAGTCAATGTGGCTGAGAAGAAAAGCAGACCCTGTCTTTCAAATGGGAATTTTCCAGACAGCCACATTTTGGAGATTGAAAATACAAAGCATTTATTAGCCCATTGATGCACAGGCCAGTCTTTTCTAGAGAGAAGATATGCACACTGTGCAAGTTTCTGACAGGAGCTCACAGCATACTGGGATTTCATACAATTTCTGCCTTAGATGGTTTAGGTGCACTTTTTTTTCCATTTTCATAAGTTTGATTTAGTTCCATGTACTTACTGCTGGTGATTAAGTATGGACTATTTCTTCAATTTCCTAGGTGCCATCATTGGTGTCACTTTTTGACAACTGTGTAAACAGAGATATTCTGGTTCGAGCCCTGGCGTTTGCAGCCAACTTGAAAAAGAACATGAAGGATGAAGAAGGCACCAAGATTGAGGAATACAGTGAAGACTCCATTTTCTTCACACTCTGCAGGGACTCTGCCCCATTTGCTCAGAGACTGGCATCTTTGCTGCATCACCCTGACACAGAAGTGAAAGAACAAGTTGTGAGAATATTAACACAATAGTGTTGTTTTCTTATACAGACTGACCTGGTGAAAATATCTAATCTTGGCAATGCTAGGCTAAGAAAGCCTGCAGCAAGTAAACAATACAACAATGATGGAATAAAAAAAAGCCCTAAATACTATCAGATATTTTTTACAAGCAAGAGAAAAGCAACAGCTTAATTATTACTGATAAACCACTGCACAGTTGCTACATTTATGCAATGGAGGCAAACAGTTTAAAACATGAAAACATTTATATATAAAATGAATGAGTGAAGTGAATGAAAGTATCCCTTGCAATGTCAAAGACCTTTTTTTTTTTATAATTTAAGTATTTACAGCTGTTGAATAAGTATTTATTCAACAATTGTATTTATTCACAATTCATTACAATTGTGCATTAAAGATTTAGTAATTGGAGATTAGGCATTTATATTTTATTAGTCTACCTATGAAAATGGTACAGCTGAATCTTACAAAATAATATTAAATAAAAACAATGCCAAACTATCATTGGCTTCCTACAGAATTAGTATCTTCAATGAAAGCTGCATACTAAAGTCACCAAACCTAGTTTTTTTTTGTTGTACCTGTATGGAATTTATTCTTAAACTCCATTTTTGCATGCTTAGTAAATCCACCCCATTTAGCCAAACTGCAGTGCAATTAACCACAACTGTGAAAGGTTTCTACACTTGAAGAAAAACTGAAAGGATTTTATATTGCTTTAAAATTGTCACTTTAGGGAAAGCAGACATATTTTTTAAAGTATTTTATTAGGAGTCAAGGATTATCTGCAACTGTAATTCAGTATTCTCATTCTTATTTTAAAAAAGTCTACAGGAGCAGTATCATACACATTTTTACAAAAGCTTCCAATTCTGTAGCAGTCCTTGGGCTTCCTTTCCTTGGATATCTTTACTCCTTTTTTCTTCTGCATCTGGAGCATCACTGGAATGAGTGCTTCTGCAGAATTAGCCCCCATAAAGTTTTAGTCATCAACCCAGCATTACTTCAAAATGAAGTGGAATCCATACAAACATCACTGTAAAAGAACCTGAACAGTTTCCTTGATGAACAGAAAACATACTGGAAAATACTTCTAAAACCAAACTACCAAAAACCTTCCACTACAGAGAAACTAAAAAAAGTGTCAGATGTAAAGGCTAGGAAAGTTTTCCACTTTGTTCCATTTTTAAGAGGACTGTATCACCTAAACTGTTACCAAGTGCTTCATCTTTCTAATTTAGCATACTCACTGCTCTTAGAAAACATTACTATCTTCTCTTTCTGTACTACAATAGATACTTGTTTTCAGAAGGTCACTTTGCAAATAGCTAAAACTGCAAGAAAAACATGACCTTGAAACTGTGACACACCCAAGCCCTGATCAATAGAGGGGTAAAGCTACACATATCTAATTTATCCACGTAGGTAGTTTTAACTCACCAGGAACAGAGTTCAGGCAGAAATAGAAGTTGGCATCACTCCCAGTCAGAAACTTGACAATTGCTGCATTGACAGTGAACTTCCTTTTCTCCTTCCCACTGCTCCTAAAACACTGTACAGTTTGTAATAAGCAAGTTACATTACAATCACTTAATGTTTTGCAACTTTTTGTAGATTTAATGTTTTCTGCTACTGAATTTGACTAAGAAAAGACTATGCCAGACACTAAGAATTTACCCACTCTCCTCTCCTGACAAGACATTAGGACCAGTCTGTTCTAGGTATAGCTGATACATGGTTTCCTAAGCTCAACAACAGAGATGTCTAGATGTCCCTTTAGGTGTTCTCCAAACTAAAAATAAGTTTTTCCAGTATCATCTTTTTTTGACAGAGTTGATCTCTTAGCCGTTGCTTTAACACCTGACACAAACATGTGACCTTTTCTAAAAATACACAAGAACTTGTTACAGTGTTGTCTCAGTTTTCTTTTTCTGATCTGGAAAGAACTATTTTTAAATGCTTTCTTCATAGAACAATGCTGCTGAGATGTTTGAAATCATGCAAAACTTTCCAATGTGCCTTTATGCAAAGATGTCTCATTTTTTATCACCTACCTCACACCCTTGGTGGAATCTTATCAGCACCCAGCAGAACATAACAGTCAGCATTCTAGGTACAAATGGTGTGAATTAACAGATCCAAAACAAAACATGTCATTACTGACATTTAGTTTCTGATCCATGTAATTCAGTGTATCTCTGCTCTGTGGCTGCTTAGCTAGGTGTTCTGTATTTTAGTTTCACTCTTTCTGAAGTACATAATTTTAGAGAATAACCTATTGATGATTATACAAACAGGAAACAAAACCAACCCACACTGTTTTCTTAACAACCTTAATCCTAAACTTGTCCTTCAAAGTACTCAAAACTTCTTGCAGCTTGGTGTCCTCCACAAAATTACAAACAGGTAATATACATTGTTTCACTCAAGTTGTGATTGAAGCTGAAACACCCCCAACACTGAATAACAGGATAGTTTTAAACCAGTTTTGATAACTGTCTATAGTTAAAAGATTACCTCAGTTGTTCCTACTATGAAATCTCATTAACTGGTTGTAATTAGTTGCCAGAAGTTCATGCCTTTAAATAATATGTCCTTTTTATATATATTTATCTTTGTGGGATATGAAAATAAAATGTACAGCAATAGCAAAAAAAAAACCCACCCAAACCAATCCACATATCCCAGAGACCAAAAGAAATCATAAACAAAACACGATTTGCCAGTGAAATTATGAAGGAGAATAACAACCCTTTTTATTGGCAACAATAGGCTTTAATTCTGTAAATGAGCAAGACAATTTGATACAGACACATTTGGCCAAGTTTTATAACACTGAACAACGTTGTAATCTCATTCAACTTTAAAATTATAGGGAAGCTATTAGAAAAATACCACAGCCCTTGCTTAAGATTTTCTACTGGGGAGAAAAAAAAAAGGGTACTTAGAAAAAGGCTGAGTTAATGCAAGGACAAGCGACATCAAGAGGTTTTTCCACTTCATGTGCTGCAAATGACACATTCAGACCTAACATAAAAACATAGACAAAACAATAAAAGTGTGCAGGTATTCTGGCCAGCAGTTAGTTTTACACATCCGTGATGCAATATTAAATTCTCTCTTTCTTTAAAAGGCACATTTCTTTGATGTAAAATTCAGCTTTTGTGGTTCATTAATAGATGGAAATGAAGAGTGAAACAATTTTACCATGCTTGTGCTTAAACAACACAGCTGTATTGGAAGACTTCACCCCACAAAACATACAGTGAAGCTGTATGAAGCTAGTACATCAAGGTACAGGGCATAACCTGAAGACTAACAAGTGGGAGAGGACAGTCTAACAATGAATAATTCAAGTCAGCCATTAATCCTAAGAATATGTTCTGTGCTGAAGTTATTATTGCTGCAGCAGGTGAAATGAAGAGTTTAAAAATAAATTTTTTATCAGTGGTGTACATCAGAGCAAGTTATTCCCAGACAACACTTAATATATAAATCACTTTTGGATCACCTCTCTAAATTTATAAACAAATAACTAATAAAGTTTGTCATGAAATTGGTATGCAAGCTTTAGTTCTGAAACTGAGAAACCTGGCATTTAGAAATCCAATTCAATCTCAAAAATCTATTGTGTACATTCTGTTAGTATTGTTCCATTGGTTCAAATCAAACAGGGCTTACAAGGACTGACACTGTTTCAGTTTTCAAAGCGGTCATTTGTATTCAAATTCCGCGACTCTCCATGGCGTAAGATAAAGAAGTCATCTTTTTTCAAGCCATATCTTTCAAGAGCTTCATTCAATTTAACTGGAGGATCCAAGTAATACTGAAAAAAAATGAGAATAATATGAGGGAAAAGATACCACTGCAACATTTTTTTGAAGGGAAAAAAGTCTCTAAAAAACGGGGGGAGGAGAAGGATATTTATCAAGTTAAAATGTTTGGGTTCATTTTAGATTTTTGGAATATAAGAACGCTGATTTACAGCTGCAGAGTAAGTAGCAAGGCTCAACTTGTGAGCCCGCACTCGGTGCCTCAAGGCAGCCATAGATCCCTCCGTTGGAAGCGCTGCCGCCAGCAGCCGGCGCTTTGCCCGCTCCGCACCCCGCGCTCCCGGCCGAACGCTCCCCCCTCGTTACCGCCGTGTGTTTGTTACATTGCCCAAAGGCACCGCCACGGAGTAATCCTCTGTATTTGTGCTCCTAAATACACAGGAACTCTTGTACTGCGGGCATAGTAACAGAGTTTATTGGGAACACTGCGGACAGGAAATGTTCTATGCACCCATCGCATCCTGCGTTCCCTCCACGCTCTGCCACGGAGCTGCACGAGCAGCAGGGACCGAGCTTAGACGGGACAACTTTTGATAAGGTAATCACACTATCAGGAATGAATTAGGAGATAAAGTGGTGCAACTGATGCAAAAACAAAGTTGAAAAACAGCTACCAGACAGTATCAAAACAAATGTAGCTACTTCATATTCACTGCACTTTCAGTTTCTATGAAAGTATCTGGGTAACCTTTGTATTAGATCTGTGGACTTAGGGGGGGTGTAGAGGGGAATAAAACATCTTAAAAAAATCAAAAATTCAGAATAACTCAATTTTTTCATATCCTTTCTGGTTTTAACTTTGAATCAACTATTAAAAATACTGTATATATTTGCTAAACAGATATAATTAATAAATACTGTTTGACCTACTGGCATGCAGTTCTTACTATCTCCAAGTGATGCACCACTCAGTTTGTTTTTATTACTGCATAACATAATGCATAACACTGCAAAATACTGCATGTCTCCTCATCTGTTATGTTCCTCAGCATCTGGATATCAGAAATCCTCCACATTTGTTTCAATAACTCTGTACTCTCTTAACCATGGAAATATTTTATGTAATTGGCTATGAAAAGCTAAGCATTGCTTTGAACAGCAGTATATAGAGTAACAATTTTCACTTATACAAAGTTCACATTTTAAGTTTACATTTACAGATATGCAGGTTAAACTGCACAAGCAAAGCTTCACTAATGACTGCCTAGTCCTTGGAAATCTCAACTCATGCTTATTGTTGCAATTTACCTCATTTGCTAAAGCAAAGGTCCCCCAATGAATTGCTACAGACTTCTTTGCTTGAACATCAATATGGATTCTTACTGCTTCTTCAGGATCCACATGCTGGTATTTCATAAACCACCTACCAAAACAAAGAAGCACTTTTTTGTGTCACCTAATCCAGTGCAAGATTTCTCCTTTACTGCCATTGCAAAGTACAAAAAGAAATATGTGCTCACCTAATCAAAAAAAATCAT